TCAGTTGGCATCCTCACAACGTCAAAAGAAAAGAAGAAAGGCCTCCAGCCTGCTGGACGTGAGGCCCTCATGAAGGATGGACAATTTGGGGCAGGCTGGAAACTGAATCAAACAAGGGAATGTCCACATCAATGAAAGCTCTATTGGAATGTTGTGCTATTGCTAGGTGGCTCCCCCTCCCTGGAAGTCTTCAAGCTAAGGCTGGACGACAAAGTGCCCAGTCTGGTATCATGGAGATTCTTTTCCCAATATAAGCTGGGAAACCTAGATGATCACCGAGGTCCCTCCCAACTTTGAAATTCTCAGGAAGGAAAGAAGGAAGATACAAAATCACAACTGGCAGGAGCCATCATCCAAGCCAGAGGTTTCCAAACTTAGCTGGCCTACTGCCCCTGTTAAAAAAAAAATTACTAAATTACTGGTGCTCCCCTAAAAATCCACTTTCTTTAACTCTAGTTTTTTTTTTAATTTGTGTTATTTCAAAAAAATACTGGCCCCCACCCCAGATCATGCCAGCACCCCTCACAGGGCAGTATCACCCACTTTGGGAAAAATGCACCCATATTGCGGTGCTGAAAATGAGGTCTAGAGATTACAGGATTTGACCAAGTGGCTTCCAATAAAGAGGGGAAGAAGTGAGGTTAAGTTCAAACTCAGGGCCTCAGAATCCATTTCCTCTACTCTTTCCACTACATTAACCCTATAAACTTCTTTTCTTTTTTTTTTTTTGGGAGGGGGTGGCACTCTGGGTTAACTGAGTTGCCCAGGATCATACAGATAGTAGGTATCTGAAGCCAGATTTGAACTCAGGTCCAGTGCTCTATCCACTGTGACATCTAGCTGCCCCAACCCTATAAACTTCTAATGATATAAGAAAGAATGAGCGAGAAGGAAACACCAGGGAGCTAGAAATCAAGTGAGAAGCTCCAGGAACCCCAAACATCCGCACCTTCTATGATGCACTGCCTGAAACAGTACGAGGGAGCAACAAAGTTACATGATCGAGGTTGAATAATTTTCCCCATCATCCTCTGCTGCCTTCTCCACATTCACCCCTTTACAGAGGAGCAGCACATGAATGCGTTAACCATGTACTTTAGGAGCTGGCCTCTTCACACGGTCCCGGGTTCCAAATATGCAGAGAGGCTTCCTCCTCATGGTGAGCGATAAGAGGGCACCACAGCCCTAAGACCGCCCTGGCCAAGAGCGCTGGGTGTTACATCTGTCCTCTGGCTGCTGCTCTCCCTGGTGAAGGCAACACTGATTTACGGCTTGTTTGTACTAATAAAATATTACACCCCTGACTCACACAAAAGGGAGATGAGAAAGTTCCAGGTGAAATGCTTTAACACCACCGCCAACAAAAGGAAGCATCTTTCTGAACTTCTTAATAAACTCTGGGGATGCAGGGCCGTGGAGGCCATGGACCAAAGGGACCGATCACACTGCTCCATTCCTCATGGCTGGGCTTCAGGAATCTATTTGTGTTTCCACCCCCGGGCTCAGCCCTGAAAGCAAGTGGGACATAAAGGCAGGGAAGACTGCTTTTTCTGCCTTTCTGCATCATTTAAGATGAAAATGGCCCGTCAGTCCAAGTGCCGGGATATCACAAGGCTGGTAGAATATATGCAAAGACATTAAGATTTGAAAAATATGCACCAAGAATTAAAGCAGGTGCTAAGAGGAAGAAAAAGGAAAAATATTCATGGAAAAGCTAAAGAGTAAGGTAAAATAAAACCAATTACTGCAAATGGAGTCAGAAGAACTAGGGCTGAATTTAGGCTCCATCACCTGTTAGACAGATGTGAGATGTTGGGAAGGTCATGTAACTTCTAAGCCTCAGTTTCCTCATCTGTAAAATGGAGAGAAGAATGCCCTCTCTACCACAATGAATTGTTGGAAGGATCAAATAATAAAACTGACTTAAGTAGCCAAAGACGTAGTCTTTGCTATATATTTGCTATATATTGCTCATAATCTAGAGTGAAATATTTACCAGTGCACTCAAGAAGAAGGGCCTGAGTATATGTTACTGAGGAAGAGGAAAAGGGCTACATGATTACAGCTATCAGAAAGCCTCCTCAAGCCCTGCCAGAGAGTAGCATGAGGACAGGAATAAACAAATGACCAATGGTACAGCACCTTCAAATACCAGTCTGAGGAATCCTGGAAAAATGGGGGTCACTCCCACACTTCGTGGAGCTTTTTAAAGGCTACAGAGGACAGCTGAGCCTATGCTGTGCCCACCTGAACTAGAAAGTACAAGGCCCGCATCCTCTAGAGAAGTTGAGATGAATCCCACTTATTCCTGACTCCGCAAGAAAATACACGCAATTATTATAGATTACATTTTCCACCTTAAATTTAATAGACCACCTGGGGGCTGTCACATTAAACGTTGCATTTCCACATTTTGCTTACCTCTGCTTAATAGCGCTGATGAGCTGAGATTCTTACCCCGGATACTGAATAAGTCACCTGTCAATTATTTGTCCATCTACAAAACTGACAGACCAATTAATGGGTATCCAGCTCCGACTCTCACCTGAGCATAATCTTCAAAGATCCGCGACTTCCTCCATGTGGGGTCAGTGGGGACAGTTTAGTAGAGGGTTTTTTTAAAGAGTTTCTGTGTCCAAGAACATCAATCACCCTGCTGCCGATCTGGTGAGGAGGCTCTCGAATCTGGCTGCGTGTGCTGTCAGACAACACTCACAGTCTGTCACTAGGCCCTCATTTAAAGTCGACGTGGCCTGCCAGGAGTGGCCAGAGCCTCTGGCCCCCCTTGGCATGGACTTCCAGAACTCAGGATCCCCACCAGACCATGATAAGACACCAGAGGTCTTTGGTAGGACTCTTAATAAAGGAAATGTCCAAGGTGACTCTCTCTGCTTTCCTTGAGACATATACCCCAGCCCAGGCTAGAATGAAGCAGGCTTTTAAAGTTGCAGGATGAAAAACGTGACTAGGGTAGCTTCTCTCTGTTCCTCACTTCCACACCTGTGCTCCGGCCAGCCCCCAGGCCAGGAATGCAGCCCCTCCTCCTCTAATAGAATCCTCTCTTCCTTCAAGAAGTCTCCCCTGGTCTCCCCAACCTCCTAAGGCACCTTATATTAATTTGTATTTATTCTCCTGATATTTGTCCTGATTATACTTATCCATGGTCTTCTGTTTCCCCTTCCTACCCCTTAAGAGCACAGACTGGCCTCTTTTTTGTCTGGGTACCTCTAGCATCTGCACAGTGCCTGGCGCATAGCAGGTGCTTAATAAATGCTTGCTGATTGAGTCACCAATTAAATTACCCTTAATGAATGAATGCAGGCACGACCTCATTGCCTCGTTCATCAAAGGGGTGAACCAAAGAACTAGCGTTCATTTGGGCATTCGCTGTGCCACGTCAAAGAGACTGAAATTCCTCCTTAAAAATGGGCTCACTGAAGGACAGAACCAAGATGGCAGAGCGCAGGGCTTGACCCAGCTCAACTCTCCCAACATTCCCCTCCAAACAATTTTGAAATGACGCCTCAAATCAAACGGTGGCGTGGCAGAGCCAACAAAAGGTCAGAGGGAAACGCTTTTCCAGCCTAAGACAACCCAGGAGGTCTGCGGGAGAGGTCGGTGGCACCAGGGTGGGCGCAGGCCCAAAGCACGGCAGGAGCTCCAGCAGCAGATCTTGGAGGAGCCATGTCAGCAGCGTCAGGAGCCTGGGGAGCTCTCAGCCCAGAGACAACTGATCAGAAAGAGATTACAGGTAACCCTTTGCTGGCTCTGGGGACAGCAGGAGCTGACTGGCAACTCTATCACCAACAAGCAGTTTGGGGTCACAGTTCCAGGGCCAAGAAGAACACTGACACTTGTAGCTACAGGGAAGCAGGAGCCCTTCCTGGGTGAAAACCAGAGGACAAACCAGGAAAGCAGTGACCATTCCTCTCCCTGGATTACATCACTTCAAAAGCACTCAAAACTTGGTAACTCCAGAACTAGCTCTGAAAATAGCAGCACAAGAACGCCTGAAGCTTGGGATGGCTCCTCTCCACTTACAGCAGAGCCCAACTTTAACACAAAGTTCAAAGTCAATAAATCAGCTACCAAAATGAGCAAACAACAAAAAAAAAGTTGACCACAAAAAGTTACTATGGCAACAAGGAAGCAGAAACTCAGAAGACAACAATGTGAAAACAGCTATAAACAATACCTCAGAGAAAAATGGTAATTGGACCCAAAGCCCACAAGAATTTTGGGAAAAGTTAAAGAGATAAGAATGGCAGAGGAAAAATTACAAAAATAAATGAGAGTAATGCAAGAACATTATGAAAAACAATTAACAGCTAGGTAAAAGAGGCACACAAAAAAAAAACACAGCAAAACTATCAACTTAAAAAACAGAACTGGCCTAACGGTAAAATAGGCACAAAAATTATACCTTTGCTTCTCATTTTATGTTAATGACGTCAGCTGGAGGGCAGGGAGTAGGGTGAGGAAGTGCACGTGCATATGCATATGAGTGGCATTATAAACAAGAAAGCCTCTTTTTCTCCCCCACTAAGGCTCTATCTGGCCCTCAGGTTTTGCCTTGATGTCTCTTCCCATGTCTAGGCCCTCCCTCTGGCCTGGCATGTGTGTGTTCTCTCTCCTTACCTCCAGCAGAAGATGTTTTCTGGTTCAGTCCACCCTCCTTCCCCAATGCCGGGGCCTTCCCTCTAAGACTGCCTTCCATCTATTCTATACATATTCTATACATATGGACCTAGTAATTTACTTCCCCTTAGAGTGTGACATCTAGGAGGGCAGGGAGTAGTTTTGTCTTTACTGGAAACCTGAGAGTGAAGGACAGTGCCAGAGACCCAGGAGTGTTCATTCAATGCTTCCTCCCTGAATGACAGGCCTCAAAGGACCCAGCTTAAGACCTGAACTAAGGCCAAGCCCAACAAAACAGAAAATGTTCCATGCGTGCTGGCTGCCTGAGTGTGGACAAATGGCATCTCTTGTCCCAGACTTACCTCAGACTCATCTGTAGATTCTTCAACAGACATTTCCTGAAAAAAAAAATCACAAGGGAAAAAAAAGGTTAGTCAGTAACTTGGCCCAAGAAAGAGTTGAGGAAATGCACCCACCCCTGCAGAGGTGGTACCTATGGATGTGGAATGCTGCATACACTGTCAGAATAAGGTAAGATGTTGGATGGTTTTGTTCAACTGCTTCTTTTTTCCTCCTTTGTTACACAGGATAGCTTGTTGGGGGTGGGGCAAAGAAATGAAGGTAATGCAAATAAAAACATATCAGTAAAAATTAATATCTGAACAGTCAAAAGAAAAATAACATATACCTGAAAAATGGAGAAACAAAGAATTTATGACCTCTCCCCTAAGCTGCTTCCTTTTTATTTTATTTTTTTAATCATTAGGTCCCCCCGGGCAGATGCTGAGAAGACTTAAGAACCAACAAACTGGATGAACAGGACGTCAGCCTCACCTTGCCTAGCCCCTTCGGGGTATCCAGGCCCTGTGAGTGTTAGGTGCAGTACCACCTACCACAGCCAACCACCACCACCACCTCTTTCCCCAAGAAGGGTACCACACAGGCAGGATTTGGTGGGCCCTCCCCAAGGATGGGCCATCGATCTCCCACGTCACCTCCCTCCTTCCCCACACTCCCCACTACAGTCAAGAACACTCAGGCCCTCTCTACCAAGCTCCTCCTAGAGCAAGCTGCCACAACGCCATCAGTATGGGTGGGGCAAGAAAGGCCTCTCCTGCTCAACTGATTTTCAAAACAATCCCCTGTCCATCAGTTACCCATTAAACACCGCACAAACCAGCCATCTGATTTCCATCAGTTTCTCTAACTATCAACCTTTAGACAAACTCTGCCTTTAAGCACACTTTTTTCTCCTGTTAGACAATGAATCTTGCTGTCCCGGGGGAAAAAAAAAGAAAGAATGGAAAAAACTGACTCGACTCCTGTCTGCTAATCTCTCACCTGTCCACTGAAAGGGAGAATCTGCTGATGCTGGGCATCCTCAAAGAGGTCAGCAAAACGAAGATTTACTTAATGTACTTATAGTTATCAACAGCAATAAAAGGTCCCGACTAATATGCTGACGGTGAAAGTAAGCGTTTTACAAGGCCCTGGACAGAAACCCGGAGGAACAAAGGAGACAGAAGACTCTCTCCAGTGCCGGGCGTGGACCATACACATATAGGAACCTTTTAGCACTGAAGACACCCCGATCGTTAGCTACTGAATGAGCAGAAGGAAAAAAGCAACATCACGGACATTAATGAGAGTCTGGGGACAGGAGGACGGCAGGAGGAAAGCAACAAACAAGGCACCGTCAACAGGCCGGCAACAGCCAGAGAGATGGCCAGCAACCCAGCGCAGCCAAGGGCACAGCCAGACACGGCCAGGGGTGCAGTGGGCAGTGCGGTGGCCTGGCGTCAGGAACACGTGAGTCCAAACCCAGTCTCGGAGCTGTGTAACCAGCAAGCCACCTGACTGACCGCCGTCTGCCTCGGTGTCCTCACCTGCAAAGTAGGAATAGTAAGAGCCCCCACCTCCCCGGACAGTTGTGAGGCTAAAATGAGATATTTGTAAAATGGTTTGCAAACATTACACTATATAAATGGTAATTATTGCCATATTATTCTTATTACCATCAAGGCTCAGCTTCCTGACATTCCCAAGAACGATAAAACAATGCAGTAAGTCTTCAAGTGTTTTATCCTTTCATTGAGAAAACTCATTATCCTTTTCTGGGGCAGATCTTAATGAAAGGCCGGCGGTGGTCATGAATAAAGGGAAATCACTTGGGGTTTCACAGCAGGCTCAGACTTCACAAAATCTGCATTTCTCACAAAACGTTGAGCTGAGCTCAGCCAAAAGTCAGAGTCTTAGGTCCTCTCCACTCTAGGATTTCTAGAAAATGAGTTTTCCGATATTAGTTCATCAAAATACATAGCGCCTTTCCTCAGACTTGCCAATGGATTGGTGATTTCGTTCATTTCAGTATTTCCTCTCACTACAAAGCTCACAACTCATCCACACCTGCCTGGGTTCCCATCCACGCTCTCCTCTCCGCTTTCCAATGTGGGGGAGGGGGTCCATGGCACCCGACCTGCTGCGGACTTTCCCAGAGTCCTTCTGAAGGCTCTTCAGATGGCCTGAGAGCAATGGCGTCGGGAGCGACTATCCATTGGTTACCCTCACTCCTGCCACGTGATTGGCTGATCTTTTTCTTTAATGCTCATATGATAACATCCTAATTGCCATCACTTCTCCTGCACAGTTTACCATTTGTAATGTGCTACACCTTACACCTACTGGGCCTCCCCTCTGCCCAATGGGTAATGCTCAAAATCTGCTCCTCAAAGAAAGTGGCACTTGACATAAAGACATAGATCATCACTGTAAAAATACCGGGGTTAAAAAGACAGACCTGTGTTCAGGGCAAATCTTAGGAACTTTATAATTTCCTAAAAATACCGAAACACATTTCCTCCTCCCATTCCAACTCTGAGCCCAGACTCTTGTCCATCTGCAGGATTTGGCCAGTAGATATACACTGATGAACCAGCTCTATGGATTGTCCATTTATAGTCATGACAATAGCTAGCCTTCTTCATCCACTTTTTCCCCGTATGGAATTAGGCCTAACTCTTGAGTGATGACAGATCTCTCTAGAAGGCTCTGAAATATTCCAAGGCTCAATGAGAGCCGCACAATGACACCTACGAATGAGAGCGTGTAGAATACCTCCCCATCCACCGTAAATCCCCATTCTGTTTGGACTCTGCACTGGACCTTCTCCAGGACAGCACCAAACATCTTTTTGCAAGGCTACTTCTGTTTAGGCCTTGCTTGATATATCTCACCCTATCTCCCAGGTCTTTTTCCACACTGTTCCTGCCCCCACTCCCTCCAATCCAACCATATTGGCCCTTCTGACCAAAGCACATGCCATACTCTGTCTCTCCCACACCTCAAATGCACCCTCTCCTCACCCCTGCTTCTCTTAATCACTGCTTACCTTCGAGGCCTGGCTACCGGACAGCCTTCTACATGAAACTTTTCCTGGCATCAGCACTCCCCATGCTGCCTTTTATTTACTCTGCATATATTAGGCATGAATACACATACACACACATATGTGTAATTACACATCTCTCCCATTAGAACCCACATTTGCTAAGAGCAAGAACTCCCTCCCTTCTGTCACTGTGCCCTAAGCATTTAGCATAGTGCCTGGCACACAGCAGGCATTTAATAAAGGCTTGATGATTAAAGGATAGTTTACCTACATTTGAGCAAAGCACCTGACAAGGTTCTCACATGTTTCTCGTTCGCCATATGGAGAGACCTGGGCTTGGCAGAGGCATGGTTAGTCTGGTACATTCAGATCCAGTTTAAAGTTTAGAGTTAGGGGAAGTCAGAAGAGCCCCAAGAGGAGACCTTCTCTCACGAGAGCCAGCTCAGAAGGAGATCACTCACAGAACACCTCCCCAGGGATTGGCGCTTAGCTGCTGCCAAGCTACCCTGCTGTCAGTGACTCCGAGAAAGGCTTGGGCAGCATGTTTATTCTATGTGCAGATGACTCAAAGTGAGGAGGAGGGACAGCTAACCCTCTGGATGATTAATGATGTAAAAAGACCTGAACAAAGACCTGAATCTAATGGGATGAAGCAACCAGTCTAATGTCCTGGTTCAAAAGTTCAGCTTCAAAAGTACAAGATAGAGGAAGCAGAATTAGAGAGGGGTTAATCTGAAGAGGATCTAATAATCCCAGAGGCCTGCAAGCTCAAGGAGTCAGTGAAATGACATGGCGGCCATGAGAGTTCAGGATAGTTTAGGCTTCACTGGTCACTGAGCTGCGCTTCATCACTGCCTCAGCTCCTGGGACCTCCTCCCCTCTTTTCTCCCCACTCCTTGACCAGGCCAGCCACACTTCAATCCTTTCCTGACTATGCCTCTGACTCTCCAGACTGATCAGCTGTGCCTTCTCCCTGTCCCCGGCTCTTTGCTTTTCAGTTCCCTTTTGTTTGCTGTCTTCCCCTCTAGGAGTGGAAGCACCCTTAGGACAGGGACTAGCTTTCTTTTTGCTTGTATTTGTATCCCTAGCATTTAGCACAATGCCTACACACTGCAAGAGCTTACTCAGTGCCTACTGCCACGCCACTTCTAGGCCCATGGTAACAATCCCACAGTACTCTGCCCAGATCACGCTCCATTCTGGTGTTAGATTTTCCCACAGGGGAACCAGTCCAGTGACGGGCTTCAAGATCAGGCCCCATGAGGATTAGCCAAAAGAGCTGGAGATGTTCAGCCTGGAGAACAGCCATGTGGGTGGCTGGGTGGCGAAGGGAGGAAGGAGATCTTCACAGACCTAAAGACTCTTACTGGGGAGAGTGATCACACTAGCTGCGGTTAGTCCCAGAGGGTAGGACCAGAAACAATGGTTAGGAGAAGTTCGGGATGAACTTCTGAACAATTAGGGTCAAACAAAGGGAGCCTGAGCTCCTTCTGGAGGGGGCAAAATCATGCCAAGACTACCTGACTAGGCCAGGTCTGCTGGCTGCAGAGGAGCCAGCTTCCAGCCCAAGAACCAAGCGGCTTTCAACTTGGAGAATCCCTACGTTCAATCTGGATTCCTCCAAGGGGACTTTGTAAGGGTCCGGCGCCATCTTGGTCTGCCCCTTCACTGTGGTCACGCCAGATCACAGTAACCAACGTCCATAACTCCAAAAGAGATGGCACGGGACTGCCTTTCTTTTCACCTGTTTCTAATGGGAATCCCTTTCCATTGCACATCATGTTCAAGGTTGTTTTCAAATAGATCCTTATCCTGTTAGGGAAAGTCTTCTTATCTCTCCTTATTTCCAAGACTTTCCCTTTCTGTTCACTGGAGGGAACCCCAAGTATATCTAATATAGACAGCTGCTTGAAATTTCAGCCTAGAGTAATGGGGATGCTACTGCAGAATGTTGAGCAAAGTTAAATGGCAACATCAAAAACTCCTCTTCTTTAAAGAGAATTTTGCAACCTAGCAACTTTTCAAAATGTGATAGAATATACTCAAGCTAAAGAATGATTTATTTAGGTATTCAGTCTTAGCACAGTAGTTCTAACATGCTGGCAGGTGGTAAAGATGCCAGTGTACCTTTACCCCCCATTGCCCAGAATCTCCCAGAGGCAGGCCAAGCTTGTTGGTAAGACACTGCCCAAATCACAGCCATGATCCAAGCCAAGGCTGATGAGCTGAATGGCTGGTGATACGGGGCACTCCTGAGACTAGTCTTGCTAGAGTTAAACCAAAAGCCTAGGTCAGAAGCTGGCCCCAAAGACTACAAACCCATAAAGCAAAGCCCTAAATGGTCTAAACCAATCCCAGGTGATTTTTAATACCAAGAAATTCAGGGAGGAATAAATCAGGTTCCGTTTTATACACTCCACTTGGGTGCAAGGTCAGCATCAGATGAGCCTGGAACCATCCCTAACGATCCCTATGAGATGATACTATGAGAAAACAGAACCCAATCAATCAGCAAGCATATGTTAAGCACCTGCAACACCCAAGGCACAGGGGGATACAAAGACAGAAAAGAAATGATCCTCAAGGAGCTTACGTTCTATTTCGGGTGAGGGAGAGATCATGTTCCTATTAAAAAATACATCCAAAGCAAATAAATGTGAGGAGTGGCACTGAAAGCTCAAAAAGAAAAGCCTGAGGTCGGGGACAGAAGGAGGCCATTGAAGAGATGGTATCACCGAGGTCCAAATGCCACGATTTGGCACCAGCTTGGATGGGAGGCGGGGGGGTGAGAGACAGCAAGGAGTCCTCGATGACTCCAAGGCCACGGGGGCTGGGGGAAAGGGGAGCCCCTGACAGCGATGGGGAACAGCATCATCACGCCCACCTGCCCAGGCTGACTCTTGTATGCCTCCTTTTCTCTGTTCACAGAGTCAGCTGACCAGCACTTCAGGCCCTCAGCACCTCCTGCCTGGTCTAGACTGGTAGCCCCCAATCTCTCAACTTTCCACCCATCCCCCACACAGCTGCCATAGCAAGTCCTAAAGAAATGGTCTGGCCACATCCCTCTACGCTCACAGAGCTCCAGCAAATCCCTGTCTCTTCTAGACTAAAAAAAGAACTCCTGCTTGCCTTCAGAGCCCCTCACAACTGACTTCAGCCTCCCTCTGCAGGTCTGGTATACATCACTTGCCTTCCTACTCTGCTCCAAACCAACCTAAATACGGTTCCCCCAAACACAGGCTTCTAACTTCCACCCCCCACACCTTTGCATTGGCTGTCCCTTCCTCCAGTTGGGCACTCCCTCTTCACTTCCACATCTTAGGACCTCTAAGCTTCTGAGCTTCCTCTGCAATTCAAATTACAAGCCAACTCCCCCAGGAAGCCCATCTAGAGCTTTCCTCCCCCTCCCCTCACTGTGTTACTAGGACCTTCTCCACGGGAATTTTTTTGTATATACTTGGTATTTAATTTTCTGCATAAATGCTGTTCCCCACCCCAATCTGACCCCTTGTAGACCATAAGCTCCTTGAGGCCAAAGGCTGTTTCACTGTTTGTCTTAGACCACAAGGTGCAGCAGTGTAGATAGAGACCTGGGGTAAAATTCTGCCTCAGATGCTGGCTGTGTGACCCTGGGGGTGTCATTTAACCTCTGTAAGCCTCAGTTTTCTCATCTGAAAATGGGATAACACCTACCTCCCAGGGTTGTAAGGACCAAATGAGGGCACCCCCACAAAGAGCCTTGTAAACCACTTTCATTACCATCATCACTGTATCTCTGGCACTTAGTACAGCAGAGACAGTTAACAAAACGCTTGCAGAAGCAATCATCCTCTCTCATCTCTAAGCATCTGCTTACCTGGCAACCCACCCCTGGACTGGCCACCTTGCCCTTCATCCGGATCACCCTTGTCGCCACTCACTCTGACAAAGGCCAAAGGAGGCGGGTGCCACACGCTCTGAGACCAGACCTCTCTCTCCTTGGCATCTGCTCCCCTGTGGCAGTGAGCTCTGGGGCCCACCTCTGCCTCGCCATCACAGATGAGCTCTTCAAATGAGGGGGCTGTGTTTGGGCCGTCTCCTGACCTTCCATGTCCAGCACTGGACCTTCCTGCCTTGCACAGAGTGGCTGCTTAACATCAGTCAAAATAAACTGTCATCACATAAATCAGATCACTTCCACCAGGTCACAGGCAAGCTTCCTTCTCACACACCTTCAAGCTGACAAACACCAAGCCCTTTAACCAAAGAGTGACAACTTTTACAGACAAATAAGAAAGAACAACGTGGCTTTTCAGGTAAGGAGCACACGAGAAGATGGGTGCCCAGCACTCAGCACAGCGGCTGCACACAGCAGGTGCTCAACAAATGCTAGGCCATTCAGACTTACAGCACTTTATTTTACCTTTCATTTTTACTTGTATTCATGGCAGAAATGAAGGGGACTTCAAATTGAAGGAGGCGGCTGGGTGGCTCAGTGGATAAAGCACCAAGCCTGGAGTCAGGAAGACCAGCTCAAATCTGGCCTCAGAGACTCACTAGCTGTGTGACCCTGAGCAAGTCAACTTCACCCTGTATGCCTCAGTTTCCTCATCTGTAAAATGAGCTGGAGAAGTAAATGGCCAACCCCTCCAGTATCTCTGCCAAGAAAACCCCACATGGGGTCACGGAGACTCAAACAAGACTGAACAACAGGAAAACCAAACTGAAGTCACTGTTGTTGCTGTCTACAGATTTTGCAGAAATTTTCTCACACTACCTTAGTAAATTTAAAGTTCTTAACCATCAACACAGTGTTTTAAAACTCTATTAAATTCAACAGCTCCAACTATGGGCAAGAAACTGTTGGTCTCTGAAGGAAAAAAGGGAAAATCAATTCTTAATTCACAGAATTACATTCTATGGGGCTACAACCTTTAAACCAATAGGTAAGTCATACCATCCGGGGAAGAAGAGTGTACTATCCAGCTGGGAATCAGGAGGGGCAGCACATGGGATGAGCCCTGAAGGACGCCAAAGGCAGCATGAGGAGGGATACCTCCCAGGGAGGTGGGAAAGACTGAGGCACGAGGAACAGTGGCAGGAGAAATACGGAGCAAAACATCACACAGCCACTAAAAACCAAAGCCCCAGAGAAGCAGAAAAAGGGGCCGAGGAACAGCACCATCTTCCACCGGGACGACCTTCCTCTGCCTCAACCCTCTGAGCTCATCTACTCAGGAGGCATCTGGGGGATACAGGAACACCACAACAACAAAGTCCCCGCCCTCAGGGAGCTCACACTCTGTGGGGGAGGGGTGGCGGAGAGAGTCCCAAAGTCTGGGGGAAAGTCAGTTCGGGAGGGATACAAAGTCACTGCAGGAAGGACGCTCTAGGCCGGGGAGATCAGCTCAGCAGGGTGAGCGTCTTGGAGGACGGGCCGCCCGGGCTGGGCGCTCTCACCGGATTCTAGATTTCCGGGTCATCCAACCCAAACCACTTATTTTACAGAAGAAGAAACTGAGGCTCCAGGCGACCTGAGCAGGACCACCTGGCTAACGACGGCCAGAGGCAGAATCTGAACCCAGTTCTTTCTGGCTCCAAGTCCCAGGCTCCACCCACTACACCATGCTGCCTCTGTACGCCCTTCTGTGCACAGACACCCACCCCAGCCCCTTCCTCACACCCTGCCCTGTTCCCGGAACACCCAGCGCCCCCATGTTTGGACATGGAGGCCCTTCCGGGACAACGAAATCACTCTCTCCCCTTCCCTCAACGGCCCACTGGCCACTGCCCCCCGCTGACACGTCAGTACGACACCCCATCTCTGGCCTCCGAGCCTTTGCAGTGGCTCTGCCCGGCGCCCGGCGCGCCCTCGCTCTCCTCTAGACCGAGCCCGTCCCTGAAATGACGTTATCATGAGTCTGGGGGCAGCATCTGGCAAACAAGTGTGAGCTCCCACCTGCCTCAGTGTACCCGCCGTGCCCCACACGATGCAGACCCCCGAACAAGACCTCCCGCCGCCCCCATCAGCTACCTAAATACCCACCTTCTCCTCCGCTTCCGCCATGGTGCGGCCGGCAATATCACGTGACCGTCACCGGAAGTAGCGTAGAGGAAGTTGCGGGATGGAGCCCCGAGGCATTCTGGGAAATGGAGTTTGCCGCAACTCCGCCCTCTCGCGGAGCTGTGCAGCTGCTAATGGATTTGCCGAGGCGGAGGCTCTCTGAGTGTCCTGGGCCCCTGAAAAGCGGATGCCTTCGCACTGCTTGACCAGGGAAGAAAATGTTTTCTAAAATAGCAACCAACCCACCTTCCGCATGAAGCATTTTTTATGTCCCCACTAAATTACCTTGTATTTATTTTGTGTGTGTCATTTACTCATTTATGTACATGTGACGCCACATGAAATGTAAGAATCTTGAGGACAAGGATTATTTCGTTTTTGTTTCTATACTCTCAGTACCTAGGAAACCATCTAACATGTAATAGGTGAGTAAAATTACTTCTTAACTGAAAAATTAATGCTGTTTAAAAATGGAATGAACTGAAAAGCAAGAGCTAGATGACATCTTGTTTACATGAGGCACGAACTGAACTAGATGACCTGACAGAATCATAGAAAAGAGTTGAAGCCACCTCAGAGGACCTCTAGTTCAACCTATTCCTAATAACAATAATTTCTACAATGTCCACCAAAACGTTTATCCAGCCTATGCTTTCTAATGGGGGGCAGGGAGGGCTGACTGTCTCCCATAACGGCTCAACTTCCCATAGTGCCAGGCCTGGAGTCAGGAAGACTCCTTTTCCTGAGTTCAATTCTGGCCTCAGGCACTTACTAGCTGTGTGACCCTGGGAAAGTCACTTCACTCTGCTTCCCTCAGTTTCTTCATCTGTAAAATGATGTAGAGAAGAAAGTAGCAAACCACTCCAGTGTCTTTGCCAAGAAAACTTCAAATAGGGTAGTGAAGAGTTGGACAGGACTGAAAAACAGCTGAACAACAATACTCAGTTGCACTCAAAGATTCAAATTACCAGGTCAAAACAAACCACATCCATGGTACTGGGGGAAAAAACCTAATAGATGATGATTGTGGAGCTGTAAATGATCTTTGAAAGGTTTTAGATGAGACGAATGATACAAGACTAGAGAAGAGGAAATACTATCTTGACCTCCAAAGAAGAAAAAGCAGTAGATACTGCAAGGCTCATAAGGTCAACATCTAGAAAAACTCCAGAATGTTTTATTGAGGGAATGTAGGGAGAACATTTAGAAAGAGAAAAGGCACATTAAAGCCAGCAAAACTAACATTACTAAAGGAAAAAGTGACATAATCTCCTCTCCTGCAACTAGCAAATTCCTCCACCTTTCCTGATCCCAAACAAAGGAAATGCTGCTACCACTATCTGTCCTTCAGCCCTGCCCTTCCCATGACACTATCCTCATTTGTTCTTCCCTAGAAGGATCTACTTCATTCAAGTTGGTACAGTGGGGGAAAAGATCCCTATTCTTGGAGTCATGAAGATCTGATCAAATCCAGTCACTTAATAGCTGTAGAAACTTCCACAAATAATTTAACTTCTGTCTGCCTCAATTTCCTCACCTATAAAATGGAGATAATAATAGCATCTACCTTTCAGAGTTGTTGTGAAGATCAAATGAGATATTTGTGAAGTGCTTTGCAAATTTTAAGGCACTATGCAAATTCTAGCTAATATTATTATTGTTATTCCCTCTCACACATTCTATTTTTAACAAATTCCTTCCCATCAAGAATGTATGATCATAGACTAACAATTCCATTTTTTAAAAAGCATCCCTAGTGCAATAGAACAGGAAATTCTGAATATTAGGTATGCCTAGATTTCAGTAATTTTTGCATTCAAACCTTTCATTCTACCTAGTAAATAAAATTGAGAGATGTAGGCAAGATCATAAGGCATCTGGGTGTGTGGAAGTGGTTGAATAAATGGACCATTAATAGGTCAAGGTCAGTTGCTCATAAAGTGCTCCATGGATTTCTCCTTCTTTCTGTGCTGTTCAACATTTTTTACCGATGATTTGGATGAAGGCAATGGAAATATCTTTATCAAATTTATAAATTACACAAAATTGGGAAGTTTGGGTGACACAGCATGTGATAGAGTCCAGATTTAAAAACACAGAGAGAGATATCTCAACACACTAGAATGGTCAATCAGATCTAGTGAGATGAATTTTAATAAATATAAACTAAAATGTCTATACCAGGGCTCAAAAAACTGCAAACCATGCAAATCACTTTAAATATATTATCTCATTTGATCCTCTGAACAACTCGATGAGGTAGCTATTATTGTTATACTTACTTTACAGATGAGGAAATTGATCCTGAGAAAGATTAATTGACTTACCCAGGTCAGACAACTAGTAGGTGTCTGAGTCAGGATTTTAAATCATGTTTGTTTTTTTTTAATTCAGGCTCTAACCATTACAGCATCTACTAGGGATTTGAGGAGGTGTGGCTAGATAACTGTGCTAAAAGATCTGGATAAAAATAGTATGATTTAGGGAAAGAATACTTGCTTGGAGCCAAGGGAAAACTAGAGCTAGTCCTCTGACTGGACCACATGGTACAAAGTACCTTATAGCTCTGAGATTCTGTGGTCCATAATCTAAGAATCTCTCTTCCCTATTACTATACAAAATGCTAAATTTTAGAGTCAGCGGTCATCTTCTGTCATGTAGAAGCTTTCCCTGTTGCCAGCCAGCTCCAAACTAATGGAACCTTAGGCTTGTAGATGTCTCGAACTCTCAAGGTTGCTATCAAACTTAGATATATCCATTCAGAGGTTGATATTCCATTACCTACTCAGGAAAGGACTCTGAAAACAGAAAAGGCCAGTAAGAAGGGTCCAGGAACAAGTGCACCTAGGTGAATTAATGTTCCATATGAGAGTGATGCAGAGTGGGGAAACAGTACTCCAGCTCCCCACACCCCACACCCCACGCCCCACCCATGAACTGCACAGGAGATTCACAGCTAATTAACTAATGTAACATCCCACTAACACTGCCAGTGGAGGTGGAGGAAAACCAAGGGATGACCTAAGGGCTTATCATGCTATTCTAAAATGTCAAGTCCTTTCTATCCCCAAAAGGCTGAATTGATAAATCACCATGATAGGAATTAGCACACTCACAAAGATTTCATATGCTTACCTGGCCTTCTGAATGATGCCCCTGAGCATGCTCCATACAGGGAAGAAGAAAGGGAAGTCTGGACCCCTGTAAGTGAGACATAAAATATTAATAGACTCATCTTGAATTCAAATCTGGACTCAGATGCTTACTGGGTGTATTACTCTGGACAAGTCACTTCACCCTTTTTGCCTGAGTTTTTTTTTTCATCTGTAAAATGAGCATATAAAATCCTTTTGTGCAAATCAATGCCACTATTTAAAAATATATGAACTATGAGCTCATGTGAAGACAGTGCCATAAGTTAACTACACGTTGTACTGCCCCAGGAACCAGCACAGTGCTGAACACCACAGTGGGTACCTGATAAATGTTCAATTAATTGATGAAGTATGGCAACTAGGTTGTACAGGGGATAGAGTGCTGGGCTTGGAATCAGGAAGACCCATCTTCCTGAGTTCAAATCTGGCCTCAGGTACTTCCTAGCTGTGTGATCTTGGGCAAGTGACTTAGCCCTGTTTACCTCAGTTTTCTCATGTGCAAAATGAGCTGGAGAAGGACATGGCAAGCCACTCCAGTATCTCTGCCAAGAAAACCCTGAAGGGGGTCATGAACAGTCAGACACAACTGAAAAACAACCAAACAAAAACAAAAACTGACGAAGTGAATGGGCAGGTTTTTTTCCCCATCTTTGCCTTTGTGTTTTTTCTGTAAATAATAATGAAATTATAACAGTAGTAATTGCTAACATTTGTAGAGTGCCTTAACATTTGAAAAGTGTTTTGTAAGTATGTTATACTCTTTTTAATTCACACAACAGCCCTCTGAGGTAAGTGCTTTTATTATCTCACATTTTACAGATGAGGAAACTGAGGCTTAGAGAAATTAAATGACTTGTCCAGAGTCAAATACCTGGGAGTATCTGTCGGGATTCCAAACCGGGTCTTTCTGGTTCCTCCATGTACTACATTCTTCTATACTACATTTTCTCTCACTCAAAGCATTTAAGAATTTAAAAAGTGGCCCTGCTCTCACTTGCCAACCAGCCCCTTCCTCCTCACTGGGCAACAGCAATTGTGTCAGGAAGTTCCTGCCTCAAACGCGAGCTGTATTCCAAAGGTTCTTTGGGTGATAGAATTGAGTAATTCCAGAGACTTTTTTTATTCGGACTGTGCCTCACTAGCAAAGAGCTCAAAGAACATCTGTTCTCCGTCTCTCCAGACGTAGACTAAACAGCTTTAACATGTGCATTTCACTTACAGACCTTCTCTCATATCTTTCACCAGAAAAGCACAAAACTAATTTTTCCTATTTTAAACTTGGGCCATGAATTCAATTGACTCTGAATGCAGGTGTTTAGCTCTGCCAGGTAAACTTGTTATTTTATTGAGAAGCTTTCATTTCCAATCAGAATTTGGAAACAAAAGACTTCATCTCACCCTGCCATTTGGTCTGCACATCATCTGGGCACCAGAGGCTCTTCTCCACAGGAAGTGTCCAATTCCAAAAGATGTTTATGATCCCACAGGTTGATCCCTTCATGTTCTCCTGTTCCATTCAAATGCAAAAGTTTTATCATTTAAAAAGAGGGGCTTAATTCCTGGGTCTCATTTGCCACAAAGCCTCATGGGAAAGAGCAATGGAATTGGGGGGGGGGTTTAAATCCTATCTCTATTCCTTACGACCTTGGGCAAGTCATATTTCTACTCTAGGTCCTGGCTTTCTCTCTGAAAATGTAAAAAGGAGTTGGACAAGATGAAGTTTCCTTCTAAATTATGATCTAGGCTAAATATAGGATACTGTGATTCTATATGTTATTCACTTGGTACCTGTGTTCTCTGTGTGCATCTCTGTCTCTGAACTTCATGTCTTTCTCTGTCTCCCTATCGTTCTCTGTCTGCCTTTCTATCCCTC